ATTTTGCTATGTAGTTTACTGGAGTTATAGATCACGTAATGATATTAGGAGACCCCCACTTATATAGACGCTGTCACGAAACACAAGCTATTATATATGGGAGAAACTCTACGCGGGCGGGAAAATAATGCATAAGTGTACTAGGCGAAGTGATGTAGACTATTTGAACTTCGGCATTGCCCGCCGCTGTAATATTCTTTGTTCTTTTGCAATGTAAAGATTCAGCTTTTGTGGGGATTGTGCTGCACTGGTACCGGTTCAAAAAGGTGGTTCGATCCTAACCATTTTCCGTAACTTTCAGAGGCTACCAAGTTTCATTAAAATATCTCAAATAAATGGAACACAAAAGTACATGGACGGACACCAGGTGGACAGATAAGCTTAGGTTAATTCAAAATATCGTTTTGTGTGATCGGCATAATAAAGGGTGGCGTTCTCTTAAGCCCTTCTGGGCATTAATTATGTTCGCAAAAACGTAATAGACCCTTTATCACAAGTGCTATAGCATATAAATACAAATTAGACTTTGCCGCCATATGAGGGCTAACCACTCATGAGGACGCGTATATGAAATGGAGCCCAAGATACAGATGCACGTAATTCCAATTTAGTTCAGTTAATAGTTACATCAAATGGGTTACTATTAGGGACTTGTGTTGATCATAAAAAATATATATGTAAATATATATATATATATATATTGGTGTATACGATATCGTGTGACGTCATTTTAATCTCAGAGAAAGAATCGCAAGAAATCTCTTCTTTATTGATTACAGTTAATAAACATAAATGCTTATGTTTCGCCATTTTTAATTATTATTTAATACATATAACAATCATTCAATAAATCGCTCTGACATTTTTAAAAGTAATCAATCGTTCAAAAATAGATATTAAGCAATGATATACAGATTTTGCTCAAATTGACATAAAATGAAGTTTCTTTAGTAGCATGAATAGCTCTGAGAGGAGAGTCTTAACATTAAACTAAACTAAAGCTGAACGATTTGCGGCAATACATGCAGTTTTTCAACAGAAAACTAACTCTCTTAAGCGACTACAGTTATTGACTACATTCGATTAATCAAACATATGTACTATCAAACGGCATCATTCCGACATTTCGGCATTAAGAAAGAAAGATATTGAACATTGATTCGAATGATGAAATTGAAATGTAAGCGAAGATTAAATAATCAAAGAAATGACACCGTTCTATCGAGAAACCATTCCGTTTGCTCTGCTGACCGCAAGTAGGAAAAATATACTCAGCTTTGGGCAAATCTTTCAGACTTTATTAAATAAAAAAAATAAATAAATAAATAAAAAAGAACAAAAATGAGATTCTCTTACTCCTTACTATTGAGTGGGCATGGTCGATTTTCATCCTTGTCGTACATGCATTGTAGAATCTCCTTTAGAACATATGGCGACATTTTTATCGCTATATCTGCAATAATTTAGAATTTAGAAGTAATGGACAAAAAACAAGAGTTTGTGTCGCTTCTGAAAACAAAAGTGTTACCTGTTTGCTTTATCTGGTAACGTAGTATGTTAGAGTTGTCCAATTTTTTGCCACATTACCAATACCAACGTGATAGATTCGAAACGAAAAATATCTACCAAAGACTGTATAAGGAGAGGCAAGCATGCCTAGATCTAATACTGGACAAGACTATGCACACTTTGTCGAGTTTCTTTATCAAAAAGTAAGCTCAACTCTAACCGATCGATAATAGGTATAACAAAGATTATATAATTTTTTTTGTTTTTATATTATGTTATGTTAAGGAATGCTATCGCTTGGTGTAATAAAGTGAAAACTATGGCCATTGGCCACCATAAGATATCCTCCACCATGCCGCAATAGTTTATATAACGACTTTCCAAAATAAGGCGTTATATGGACAGTGGTCGAAAAAGTCGCCCGATACAAATCATTTTCAGTAGCATTCGTCCTTAACTCAGAACGCGTCAATGCAACAAATTTAATCAAAATGTTTCCAAAATTGCGCGACAAGCGTAGAATCAGCCTAAGAATCGATCCATTTCAAGTCCTTGTACCCTTGTACTACCTAGGGTATCAAAAGAAAAAAAAAAATAAACAGAACAAATGAAAGCAAATCTCTTACTTTGCACAACAACTCAAAAACTTTCAATTGATCAGCTACAGATTTGAGAAATTATTATTACATAATTCGTCGAAAAAAGGCCTCAGTGAGGCCAAAGAGAATTTTGTAAGAACGCAAGAAAAATTTACGAAGCAAACGGTACGATAAGATGAAAGTCCATAGTTTCAGGAAAAACGGATATAAACGTTCTGGAATTTATTGTTTTTACCTCCAATCTGTGATGAGGCTTTTGTCGTAGCATTACAACGGGGGTATTGACGGATAGGAGTGGTCCTCTTCCTTTGTCAAAGTTTTGTTAAATGCTTGTTCTTCTTGCATGTTACTATTACGGAGCACATTTTTGACCAAGTACGCCTATTGCCTCATAAATTCCGCCATAACGTTTTTACGCGACATATTGTTTTTGTTGAACGTTAGCCTACACTCGAATCGCATTTAATAAATAAAAACAAAAATTGTATGAACATTTAAAAAAAAAAAAAAATTCCTGTTATTTAATATTTGTTCCCGATATTCGTCACTATATATATAGTTAATATATTTTGAAAATGAGGATCTTTCCACCTTTAGAATCGCAATTAACCTGCCATGATTAAACCGTTATTAACTTCACTTTAAAGGTAGTTTTAAATAATCTTTCATTTATTTTTCTTTCAATCTTTGCGAAAAAATTTTTATTAATTCCTTCTTATTAATAAGCTTTTGTTTTATGGCATCAGCAGATAAAAGAAGCAGCGAAAATAATTATTTACTTTGATTACTTTTCCCAACAATTTGAAATTTCCATCATTAACGAGGATAGGTAATCGTTTTGCCTGCAATAATTTTGTAACGACATTTTACCTTATCTTGTCTTTGCATATGTTGGCCGAAAACAATTTTACGAACGAAATATTTTTCATTCGATAGTAAGAAAAATGCGTACTTACTACTTGGTAGAGTGAACTGATAATCGACAGGTTTAGACCAAAAGCTTACATGTTACTGACAGCTATGAACCGACGCACAAAATTGTGCACTGACAGAACCAATAGCGCCATTTAAGTGAACAGGAACCCGTGATAAGCTGGATACTGTGGTACACGCAGAAAGATTGCAATTTTCTTTAGCTCTTAGCAGGTCAATCACTGCCAATTTGCATCGTGTATTACGTTCATATCAGTTGCTAATATAAGTTTTTGCTTTCCGAAGATCTCTCGAACGTGAATTGCGAAAACTTGGTTTAATTTGCAAGGTCAAGATTTTCTACGCAAATTTTCTTGGTGTTGGATATTTTTTGCCACGTCGGCTAACATGATATCGGAAACTTTAAACTGCATACATATATTATGCAGACGGCACAAGTTTAGTAGAGCAATAATGGCTTCTTTTGTCATCGCACAGAATTTTCCGCCCTCCTTCAAAAATACCTATTACTGTTCGCTTTGGAATGCGCCTCATTGCATTGCAATTCATTTCGCTCATTGAAAATATTGCCATAAGATTTAGGGCACAGGAAGAACAATAAGGTTAAGTTTATATATTAATAAATTAAAAAGTATTTGTTCGGTTTTTTTTCTTGCTCTTCTTCGCGTCTATATTGTTATTCATACACCAATGATGACACAAATGCAACGTTGAATATGAAACGAAAAGAAGACTCGTTTCGATTGTAAAACGTTCGGGTGGTGTGGTGAACTCATAAAACGATCGAAGTTGACGTTCGTCATGTAAGCGCACTCCTGAGCGGCGATAATTTATAAAATCAAACTGTTTAAATAAATAGACAACAATTAGAATTGTTGGTCTATTAAAGTTGGTAGGTAATGAATATCAGACATCATCAGAGTTGTGCCATAAGAAATATTTTGAAAAAATTACATTTGTTAGAATTTTCAAAAAATTTGATAAAATCTCATTAAACACTTTTTGCTTGAAACTAGAATTATGTGTATATATATTACGTGTATAATACATATGCAATATATATATATATATATATATATATATGTTATTTATTTACTTATTTATTTATACATATGGATGCTAACAGTAGCAGAATAAATGTATATACATATGAACAGGATTTTTGGTTATACCTTAAAGGTCTTCATCATCATTTACTTCTACTTGTTTATCACTGCCATCATCATCATTATTATCATTATCATCGCAGTCGGCAAAATGTCTTTGATCTTATCGCCAAAGCTTCTTGCTCGCATTTTGATCAAAGCAAGTTTTTCCGTCAAAGTAGCAACAAAAGAAAACATTCAATACATTAAAAGTGCAACAATAGCTACAATAATAACAAAATATTGTAACCGCAAAACGCAGAAAAAAATAACCGTAAGATATGTAGTGAGAGAGGGAGAGACCGACAGACAGAGAGACGGAGAGACCGAGAGACCGAGAGAGAGAGAGAGAGAGAGAGAGAGAGAGAGAGAGAGAGAGAGATAGGGAAAGAGAGAGAGTGAAAGATGCATATTAAAAAACCACTAACAACAATAACACTATAAAAAAAGATCATATAACAACAACAATGTCTTTGACATTCGCAAAATTGAATCGACCATGTATCGAATTAAAGAGATATGGAAATATACATAGAAGGGCGCGAAGCATAAATAAGAGCATAATAATGAAAATGATAAGAAATATATCGATATATTTAAAGTTCGAGTTCGTGAAGCAGCATAAGTAGCTTTTTAGAAGATCGGGAAACAAATATATCCTGCAAACATTCATCCAATCGATATTTACATTCATATTATATTGTTCATCATTAACGATTTCAATGAGCAATCATAGTATAATGCACCACGCTTTTTAAACATATATATAATTATTTCTATCCATCTATATGCGTTTATACTTGTTTCATTACAGATATGTTATACATCCGGTGACACCGATACATCTAGGATACATTCCTGTGAAATGCTTTCCACATTTCCAGCTTGCATCGATAGATCAATTCTTGATAATGATAATGCCGCTTCGTTATGCCAGTGTATTCAACAATGTACCGCAGCAAGATCACATGCAACTCTAAAATACGTATTCTATAACGTCTTCCTTACTTTTGTATTTTGTTTGTTATTATGCAATAGCAGATTAGTTATGGCATATCCTGCTTCAATTCAGATTAGTAGTACAAGTACACCGGTAGTGTCGCTTTTGGGAAAGCCAGTGACGGCGAAAAATTCCCTAAATGCCACTACATCGCTGTTGTTAAGCATGCACCAGAGATTTTCAATGGAGAACAATTCGATACAAAAGCAGCCATCGTCCGTGCCGTCGTCAACGGTTCAAGAAAGAAGTCGTGCCTTAAAACGTGTATTTCTATCAAATCGTACCATTGTATGTAACGATGGAACTTTGGCTGGATTTTATTTGCGTAAGAATGCAAATTCAAGGAAATGGATTGTGTTCCTAGAAGGCGGTTGGCATTGTTACGATATGAAAACATGCCGTTCTCGTTGGACTCGTTTAAGGCATTTAATGACATCTTCTCAATGGCCCGAAACCAGGGATGGTAAGCACTTTTCTTAACATCACCCAATATATAAGAAATATGAAATAGAATAATATAAAATTGCGTGTTATATTACAGTTGGCGGTATTTTGTCTCCTCTACCCGAGGAGAATTCTTATTGGCATAGCGCGAATCATGTTTTGGTGCCCTATTGCAGCAGTGATTCCTGGTCTGGTACGAAAGCGGAGCCTGACTCACCTGAATTAAATTTTCGTTTCATGGGCGCGCTTATATTGCGTCAAGTTGTCTCAGATCTTATACCGTTGGGCTTGGGTCGAGCAAAAGGAGCCGAACTGTTGCTGGTAGGTTCGTCAGCTGGCGGATTGGGAGTAATGCTGAATCTCGACCGCATCACACATTATTTACAACATGAACGTCAACTTCAGGTAACAGTAAGAGGTGTCAGCGATTCGGGTTGGTTTTTGGACCGTGAACCTTACACACCCTCTGCAGTTGCATCTAGCGAAGCTGTACGCCAAGGTTGGTCGATGTGGCAAGGCTCACTACCAGAATCCTGTGCACAGTTGCACAAATCTGAACCGTGGCGTTGTTATTTTGGTTATCGACTTTATCCAACATTAAAAGGTATATATTTCTTTCGATATTCAATATACAATGATAAGTTTCTAGTGTTTACGTATGCCTTTAGCTCCATTGTTTGTGTTTCAATGGCTATTCGATGAAGCTCAAATGAGAGCCGATAATGTCGCTTCCCCCGTAACACCGCACCAATGGAATTATATACATGCTATGGGCGGAGCTTTACGATCTTCCCTCGATAATGTTTCAGCCGTATTTGCACCTTCTTGTATAGGCCATGCGGTACTTTCTAAACGTGAATGGTTAACTATTAAAATTGATGAAATATCATTGCCTACCGCGTTACGCTGTTGGGAACATGCAACCCGTCCACATCGTAAAAGTTATGGAAAGTTAAAACGCTCCACAGAGGCTACCACATATGAAAATCACAAACGTCACGATAAACAGAAGAGTAGAAAACAAAATGCAGAAAAAAGGCGCTTAGATAAAAGCGAACGTGAAAATAATAATCACTTACGGCATAAACAACAAAAACGACATGAAGAGCGACGAAAACGCCGTAAGAATAATATGGCGTTCATACATGAAAATAATCTGACTAACGGTATAAGTTCAAGTGATAATAATTCAACTAATGCTCAGAATCGCAAGAATAAAAATCGACGTCGTAACGATTTTGAAAAACAAAGGGGTGAACGACATATTCAACAAAAAAAACGCCGAAGACGAAGAAAAGAACAACAAAAACAACAACGTCTGAGCAGTTTACGCACAGATTTCTCTACAGACTCGATTCATTTGGAAAAGCGTCGTAACTTGTTATCAAAAATTAATAAACGTACTGGAGTGCCGAGAGTACCAGAGAAATGTTCTTTACGTTTAATGGAACGTTGCAGTTGGCCACAATGCAATCATTCTTGTCCCTCCCTCACTAATCCGGCAACAGGCGAAGAAATGCGATTTCTTGAGCTTTTATCCTCATTCGGTTTAGACATTGAAGCTGTAGCGACAGCATTGGGCGTAGACATGCAAACACTAAACAATATGGATCGCACTGAATTGGTTAATTTATTGACACAACAAGTAAGTTGACGTTAGGTAAATATTAATATAAAAAATCGCATTAATTTAATGCTAAAAATCTTGTGCGCATTAAAGACGACAGGTGCTTTAAGCTTGCGTTTATACAAAAACCTTAGCCAAGAATTCTAGAAATTAATATAAAAAACAAAAAAGTACTTCGCAACTTATGTATCCTCGGTTGACAAGTAAAACGCATTAAGTACCTTTGCGGCTGATTGGAGACAATAAGATTTTAAAATTCTATGCCATCAGGCATTTTGACTCGTGTAATCGACATGATGAGTTTCTCTTGCGATAAATGATTGAAAAATATAAAACTTTACAATGTAAAGTCATTTGACATTCAATTTGCAGTACTTAGTGAGTTTTTTTACCTGTCAACCGACGATATCAGTAGCTGAGAAGACAAGAAAAGCTTTACTTACTTACGCTCCTGGAGAAATTTCTACAGCTATATGTCTATGAGCCTATTAGTTATGTCTTCTCTGTGTGTACAAAGCTGTTCCCTTCCTTTCTCACTTTATAGTATATATATATATATATATATATATATATATATATATTGTAAATATTTTTATTATTTTTATTTTTTATTTTTTTTTTTCTTTAATATATTTATGAATTTTAAACTAAGAGAAAAGTTCAAATTAAAATTTTAAGAGATAATTATAAGAATTAAGAGAGCATACGTACATAATAATGAAAAGCAGATGAATGAAAAGACCGATAAATATTGTGTTATCGAAGATTTAGGGTGCATTCGTGTAAGAACATAAAATTTCTATTCTTCTTGCCTATGCATTTCAAATAATTTTATTGAAAAATTTCTCAATATTCAATTCACCATTGTTTTGCATCGGTAGAATTTCTTAAGAGATTGCTTTAAAAGGACTGAATTGTTCTCGGTTGCTATTGAGCTTTTATAACCCTCTACACATCTTCTGGTAGAGGGGTATATAGTAAATTTATACGGACATGTGCAACATCGAGAATCACTTTCTGAACCGGTTAAAGCTTGTCTATCCGTCTGTCTGTTCTATATTCTTGTGTTTAACATACATGTTTTTGCAATTTTCAATTCATTCAAGCGTTAGTACACTGATATTTTTGGCCACAGGACGAAAACTATTGAAAACGATTCGGAACGAATCACTTTTTTTTGTCTACTTATCTTACCTTACACCGTATATTGAGAAGTCTTAATATATTTACAAATGTATTAAGCGAAGTGCTGTAGACTATGCAATGATGGGCCGTGGCCCACACTATGGTGCTTTTACTTGTCTAAAATTATTGAAGTGAAGAGATTCGGATTCAGATCTTTACGCGTTGCTCGCGCAGTTCAAAAATCGAGTAAACAATCTGCTGTGCTATTAATGCATAAAAGCAATAGAAAAGTAGACCTCTCTCCCTCTTTCTTTATTTCTCTATTTCTCTCTCTCTCTCTCTCTCTCTCTCTCTCTCTCTCTCTCTCTTTCTCTTTCTCTTTCTCTCTCTCTATCTATCTATTTATCTATCTATCTATCTCTATCTATCTATCTATCTCTCCCTCTATCTCTCTGCCTCTATCTATCTATCTCTCTCTCTCTCTCTCTCTCTCTCTCCCTTTCTCTCTCTCTTTCTCTCTATCTCCCTTCTCCTTTTTCTTTCTCTCTCCAACACACATAAACACGTACATACATTTACTCTTTTAAATCTAAAAAATAATGTTGAGTACTTTATCGATTAACAAACTAACACAAATGCAACACACAAGACTGTTATTGTTACAATATTGATCTATATGTAGAATAAAAAAAGTTTAAAGAAAGAGATAATAAAAAAATTAACAAAAATTAGCGAAAAAATAAAACAAAATGAAATTTTCTAAATGAATACATACATACATACATACATACATACATGCATACATACATACATACATCTCAATATTTACACACAGAAGAGAGTCAAGTGATTTTCTTTCAATTTTCTATTAAATACAAAGATAATCTTTATCTTATCGTGCATATCCATAGTTATAAAGTACGCTATTTTAACCTAAATGACATATAAAACTACCTCATTTACGTATATACGTATGTATCATTGTTCATACGATGGGCTCGTACAAATGTGCTATTAGCTTCATTGTTATTATTATTTTAGTAATAAAAGAGGTTTTGTAATTGGATGAAGCAAAGGGCAATAAAATTTAGTAATGTGTCTATAACATGTATGAATGTATACCACTTGTATGCACACAATTTTTTTTATGAGTTTCAAATATATTCATTCCTTCCTACAAATCAAAAAAAAAGCAAAAAAAAGACAACAAATTTAATAAAAAAAAATAAAAATAAAAAAAAGTATAATAATTATGTTGGCTATTGCATTAATAATAGATGTTGGTGTCTGAAGGAGCACTACTTTGTAAACGCTTAACTTAAAGAAAAGTTCCTGAAGAGAAGATGGCAGAGATCACGGAAACCTCGAACAAAAGCCGAAATCGAAATTGAATTTTCATTTATTTTCATTCATTGACACTTAAGCTCGTTCAGATAACGACATTATTATTATTATTATTATTATTATTATAATTGTATTAATGTTGGTACTTAATATTTAATTTAAATTAATAATAATTTATTTTAGTAATTAATATTAATAGCAATCACTATTCAAGATTATAGCCGATAACGTTGCCAAAATATGCATTGCACCTGCGAGTGGCTGTGATGACAACATCATCCGTCCACTGTGTAAAGTTATATTTTTTAGATTGTTTTCCTTCCCTTTCATAATTTGTATAAAAAAAATTTTATTATAATTTAGAATTTGTACTTAACTTTGTAATAAATTTTTAAATTTATTTACCCAATAATTGTTATTTAATATGATTTTCTCTAAATTTAAATTATAATAAAAAATAAAATTACATTTTGACCAAAATCCAGAAAAAATACTTTTCTTTAAAAAAAAAAAAAAAAAAAAAAAAAAAAAAAAAAAAAAAAAAAAAAAAAAAAAAAAAAAAAAAAAGAAGAACAATATTAATTATAATCATAAAATACTTTATTACATATCAAGCGTTACATGAGAACTAGTCGAAATGCAGGTCCAATCCGAACTAATTTTGATCGAGCGTTCGTCCTTGGGCCGAAATATATCAGAGTCACAAATTCCAAAAAATTGTGATCGATAGGTAATGTCTTGATATTCAATGAAGTCCCATGAAAAAACTAATTTTAGTGTGTGTGTGTGTGTGTGTGTGTGTGCATCAAAATGAACAATTGTTATCGTCTTTTGTTTGAGCATCAACTCTAAATCAATAATTGTATTAAAACGATTTCGTCTTTACCTATTGACCTTGGCCTTTTGACTAAAGATTCCGTCAATGCTATTAGGAAATCATCCGATCAAATGTGCTCTTAATTCAACTTGGTCTTAATTTTTTAGTGCAAGCGCACTTTTTGAAAAGTTACAAAAATCTCTCCATTCTTTTTGAAAAGCCTTCAAATGCACTATGAGATCGGTTTGTAGCTATCGATAGCGAATGCACTCTTATCCGCTGGCATCTTCGAACGAGTTTATATTTTTTATAAACAATTTTTTGGGTCCTTGCATGTACAACGGTTTATGGGCATGTGAATGTAATGTGGATTAAATGGAAAGACGAAGACGAAGACGAAAGTAAACAATTAAATAAGAAGAACAAGAACAATAATCAAAAAAAATTATTTTTAACTTATTGATATATAAACTAAAGTATGTAATTGCACACAAACTCCTCAAAGTATATATATACATTCTTGATCAGCATCCAATACCAAATCGATTTAAGCATGTCCCTCGGTCCGTCTGTGTTATTTCTTTTGTACACATTCTCCTGATCGCAAAAATGAAGTAGTATTTTTTTCACATTGTTTTCCTTTTTACACCCATCATCTGTGTGCGTGTCTGTCCGTCTGTATAATTTCGGATGTACGCGCGTTATTGCGCGGAAAAGCTTAACCATCGACTTAAAATTTAGCAGAAACATTGGAAGTTCTTGCACGCAGGTTGGTATTTAAAAAGAGGCCTAGTCGGTCGAAGGACACGCCCACAGCACCATGTAAACTGAAAACATCTTTGTTTTTCAAAGCGAATGAATAAATAGCAATTTGCCCGGTTTACTCATAAACTATAGCCAATAAGTCTACAAAAATTTGAATGCAAATTCTATGGGCGATACCGTAGTATTCGTGCACAAAAATGGGAAAAATTAACCACGCCTATCCAATATTATAGTGTATCAAAACTTAATTCTTTTTTTCTATACCTATATAACGCACAGAAACAAGTTTCGAAATCCCACGTAAAGTATACAAATTCTTAGCCAGTTTCAAATATGGAATGCACCTACACACGTGCGCCCGTCTGTTTGCGCAACTTTGTAGCACTTTGGGGTGAACATATTCTTGCCAGCGAAAATGAAGACATCACCTGCAAATGTGCAAACAGTTCAGAAGTGACCTGAACTTTTCAAAGGACACGCCTAAACCGCCCACATTCCTATACAAAACAAAAACTTTTATTTTGAAAATAGAAGAAATCAGCTGCGCCCACTCCAAATTTTTTTCTTTTACTTCGTTTCTCTTTTTTAGGATAACAGTGATGGGTATAAAAGTTTCGGTCCCGATCGAATTTAACTTTCTCACTTATTTAATTTCATGCAGTGAGTGAGAATAGAGTTTAAAGGACATATGTCCACCAATTATTTTACAATGTTTTTGATTGGGCTGATGGTTCAGTACACAAAAATTTCACAAAGAATACTCGATCAAATAGAAGGGAAACTATGCTAATGCTTAATGCGATTCAACAGTAACGATTTCGAATATAGGGAGTGGCCAATTTACTTTGAATGGCAACTATTGGGAAAGTTTATTAATTCATTGCCTATCCTAACTCGCTGAAGGAAGCTATCGGGCAAACTTGTGTGCACAGTTGTGCTTACATTACGTCACAAACTCTTCTCATGCAGCATTTACTCTATTAAATATTGACTTATACCATTTGTTCATAATAAATGATACTTATTTATTTTATTTATTTATTTATTTATAATAACAGACGAATTTAATCGACTTTTTGAAATAATGCAAATTATTATTAAAAACTAATACAAAGTATATAAAGAGGAGTAAGGACGAAACAATAAAATTCAAGTATAAATAAATAAGTGAGGAAGAGAAAGAGAGAGAGAGAGAAAGAAAGAAAGAAAGAAAAAAGCATGTACACATCTCGCATAGAGTGACAGATCCGACTTATGAGTGAACCTCTAAGCTATTGCAAACATACAACCGCTTGGCTTGGATAATACTAAACAAATGACACACGCGTGTTAAGGAGACTTGATTTCATAAAATTTAAAGAGACGGATCATGCATTAGATGTCGTTTCGATTTTTCTCAAGCACTTTGAATACATTGAAAAGCTCGTAATTATATCAACGTTGACTAAGCTTTATGAAGAATAACAATTCCTAGAGAAATGATTCGGGACATGAATGTTTATCACAGCAAGTAATGTGGGCGAATCGATAGTACCATTAAGAAGAAGCTATCAAGAAATAAATCTACGTCTCTCAAGCGACGGTAAGGCTAAGAGAGGTAATCTATTTTCATCAGGAGGTGGGTCGCCATCTCAATGTCCTAAGGGCAAAGAGGAGGAATTGCTTTTAAACGGATTCTATTGAATATAGATAACACATATAACGTAGAAAGGAGACCACCCAATAGAGGCATACTCAAGTATCGGTCACACTAAGCTCTTGCATAGCCTTTTTATTGTAATGTAAAAATCGTTAAGCTCTTAGGACTACCGAGCTTAATGAAACCTAGCGCCAACGTAGCCTTACTTAAAGAGAGTTCAACGTGTAGATTAAAACGTAATCTTTGGTCGAATAGAACCTCTGAATCCATGAACGATTCTAGGTTTTCCAACTTGTGTGAATCAATGAAATACTTACTAGCAAATGAATTCCCCCTTAAGAAAGAAATCTTTTTGCATTTCTTTTTAGATTTAATTTCATAAAATTTAGCGAGGATCATTTAAAAAAATTATTTAGGTCCGCAATTCCAAGGAAACCGTCAGCTGAATTTAAACGCCGAAGGCAGATCATTAATATGTAGAATGGATAAAAAGAGCCCTAAGTGGCTGCCTTAAGCGACACCTGACCTGACGTCACCGCCAATTCATCCGAGATAATGAGAAATTTAGATAGAGCCCTGAATGATCTGTTGCGAAGATGAAAGCTTATCCCTTTCAATAAGCACAAAGGGAAGATATGACGATACTACCACATACTACAAATATGATGCTGAAATGCTTATATGCGTTTTTTACTATTTTTATCTTTCAACAGAATTAGATAATTCTTTTATATCCAGTTAATGTATTATGTAGCTAACTGTCTTTCGTAACGACATTTTACGAAAAGCCGTTCATTGCACAAATCGATCTACTCCATAAAACAACATTTTGAGGTATATGATAAAATGATCCGCCTTGTTTTTTAAGAGTCCCTCCCTCTATATAAAATAAATTCAAATAAATATTGTAGACGGAATAAATACAGATGTGGCGTAAAGGAAGAGAAGTTAAAAAAAGAAACAACCATCGGTAATGTTACAACTTTTATGTCATTCGTAGAGTTAGTCATTTTGGCAAATGGAAAAAGTAATAGATTTTAAATTTAGTGTTGAAATTTTCAAGTTTCTTTGCGATTAATTCATATCAATGATGTCTTCTTCATGAGCCGTATGTAAGGAATGAATTCTTGCAGGTCCATCATGTCTCTACTTTTTCCATTGTCACCTTTGGCATATAGTAAAGTAAAGGCTCACCTACAGTTTTTGAAATTTATTTAAATTTCGATCTGCTATAAATTTCCTTATATATTGCTGTCATGACTATCACATTTGAATTGTATGAAGACGGGTTTGGATCTTTTTCAACTTTACCAACCGCTTTGTAAACGTAGTTAATGGAAAACTTGTAACGGTTACTTTTCTGCTAATGACTGCATTTTCTCAAAACACAATAATCGAAAGAAAGACTTTTTTTGATAAATCGTTGGTTCAGCCTTTTTCACATACAAATTGCCATTCGTCTTATCCATCTTGATTATAATGCTATAATAATTATTTTTGTAAAACCGCTGTGATTGATTCATTATTTTACTCTCATGAAATTCTCATGAAAAGGCAAAAGGTTTCCTGATTGTTTCCGATTCTTTTTCCTTGACTGGGTCGCTTCTGTTCTTCCATCATATCCTCTAGATGTTTAGTGTTTAGTGTTTTGGCAAATACGCGAACTAAACTTAGTTAATTTTACAAGTTAGCCTAAAAGTAGACCGCCATTATTTTTCTTTTTATTATCAAATTAAACAAAACAGTAGATAAATTTTCTACTAATTTACAGAAAGAATGTAATACTCTACTGCTAACTTGCAAAGCCGCCAGCTTTATCACTCAGGAACTCTGTTAAAAGAGCTTTACAACCCAGGAAATCTGCTAATTTGCAAAACCGTCGGCAAAAGTCCCCCAATTTAACACCTCTTTTATTTAGTTCTTCTTGTTACCGCGCAGTGCATCATAGCTTAGCAAAGACATAAGCCAGACTACATATTCTATAATCTTCGTGTACGCACTGGGAGTTTTCTATGACAACGCTGCAAGTCATCTGTTGTTCATTTGCTGACGACTCAGAAGAAGAAGAACAAGATATCATATGTTAGGATGTTTTCTTCCAAAATATCACATCGTAGTAGTGCCATCTAAAAATGGTTGACCAAATTTAATATTTCACTGACTTTCTGTATACTTTAAATACAAAATATTTGAAGATTTTTTTTAATTTTTTTTTTTTTTTATTTATTTAGCTTATAATTTTTGAAGGGCTAAAAACGTCTTATTATTTCTTTTCTTTTCTTTTCTTTTCTTTTCATATCCATCATCGAAGGATGAGAGAGGTGTATATTCGTTTCGTCAAATAACTCCCAGGAAAACAGCTTAACAGACCCCACAAAGCAAAAATATTCTTGATCAGCATCAAATTCTGAACCGGTTTAAGTATGTCCATCTGTCGGTTGCAAACATTCCCCTGGCCATGCAAAAATAAAGTTATCGGCATAAAATTTTGTGGAAACTTTCGAAGGCCAAATCGCTCAAAGGATCCACTTACAGTATTAGATAAAATAAGGGCGCCTTGGTTTTTCAAAGCAATAAAAAATTGGATATTTGGTCATTCCTCATAAACTATAGTAGACAAATATACAAAAATTTGAAAGCATATTCTATGGGCGATACCGTAGTATCTGCACAAAAATGGAAAGAAATGACCACGCCTATTCAATATAAATATATATCAAAATGTAATTTTTTTTTCAATACCTTTACGCGGCACAGAAACCAGCTTCAAAATATATAAATTCTTAGCAAATTTCGAATTTAGAATGCAGCTAAACATGTCCGCCTGTTCGTCTATCCATCTATCCGTCTGTCCAACTGGATACTATCTGCGGTAAAGATACTCCCGCTCGCAAAAATTGAAGATATCGCCTACAAATTGGTAAAATAGTTTGGAAGTGATCTAAATTTTTGAAAGGATCGCGTCTACAACGTCCACGCGTCTACGCGACAAAAGCTATTATTTTGAAAATAACAATAATCAGCCGCGCCCGCTTCATATTATAGAGCATGAAAATGTACTCCCTTGCACTTTTTTTGGTGATGGGTATAAAAGATTCGGTCACAACCGATAATAATTCTCTTACTTGTTTATTTTAAGTTTTAAATTTTATTAAAGAAACTAGAGCTCTTCAAGTATTTACAAAGAAATTAATTAACTCGTTGTAACTATGAGCAGTGTATAGGCGCGGACAAACGTTTATAAAGCAAAAAAATGCATATCCATGACCACTTGCTTAGTATAAAGAAGCAGTCATCTTGAACATTACAGTCTGACCATATTTCCAGCGTATCTACTTGACTCTAGATCCATTGAAACCTTAGTTACGCTCTCAGCACTTTGCATGGAAGATGTAATTAACCGTAAATTCTTCTTCTTGCTCGTTACGATCACCAGGTTAAGATTGATTAAAATCACTTAAATTGTTTAATGGATTCGCTCACGTGTATATGAAAAGAAATGCAAGTCTTCGTATTTAAGTTGTGTGTCAATGCCTCAACTTCGAATCGAAATAGGTTTTCTGAACACAAAATGCAAGACTTTGTGGATCTTCTTCATTTAACATAACATGAATTTATACGTGATATTTTTCAACTTCCTATACATACATATATATTTAAAATGAAATAGAATTTTTTTGGTAATTCCTGACAATAAAAGGCATACACTTGCCGGATCTTTTTTATGCCGACCACATTTTTCAGCTTTATTGTTGGGTACTCATGATTCGGTTTAAGGCGTAGATAGCATTTTTGCAGTTTTAGTTTTTTAGTTTCTTGTTAATGAACAGGGTGCCGAACATTTTTTTCATAAATTATTTATTAAATTTGTTTTTAAATATGTTAACTTTTTTAACATCAGACCCTGTGTGTGTGTGATTTATTAAGGAAAATTCTCAAAATCTCTTAATAAAATTTAATTTAAACATTTGATATCGTTTTCTTTATTATACTTACGTATGATCATTTAACTCGTGAATCGCACGCATTCACGTATAATATCGAATTTAAACGCGCATAATTTTTTTTGAAACGAATCGAAATTAAATTTATGAGATATTTTTTTATTTAATAATAAAATGTTTATAATTTTTTTGTTATTATTAACACTTTCATGTCGAGGCAATTTAGTTAATTGTAATAATAAAATAATTGTTATAATTTTAAAGACTTAATTTTTTTTTTTTATTACTTATTTGAACAGCTTGTCCCATTTATTTGACAATCGCTTCGAATGGTAAAACGCTTCAGGAATCGAATTTAGAATTGAATTGGCCTCCAGATTGCTATACTCGTCCAGAATGGATTGGTTTTTATAGCGATAATCCAGCGATTAGCTTCACTCAGCCGTTGCTGCGAATTGAAAATGTGAGTGATACTACCTTTAAAATGCCGATAAAACAAAAATTGGGTAAATTACGTTTTCCCGGCGGTTGGAATCGTAATGACTTTAATATACTGGCAACCGAATATTCAAAAGGCAAATGTTTAAATTATTATGTAGCCAGTTTTAATGGCAACGAATTGTTGGCCGTCGAATGTTTAAAAATCTATCCGAATTGGTTGACAAAACTGCCGAATATTAGGAAATTGCCTCTTAAGGATTTATTCATACCAGGTGAGAGATAGAGAGAGAGAGAGAGAGAGAAATAGTTTTCTTTATTATTATTTCTTACATTTTCCATATTTTTATTTTTCTTTTTACGCCCTATCACGTCCGATCAGGAACGCATGCCTCTGGCGCTTATATAACTGACTACATTAAAACTAAATCGTTTTTCATTAAAGACTACGCAGCATCGCAGTATTTTGATGTCTGGTCTCAACTAGTATTCGGTATACGTTATTTGGACTTAAGTATTGGGTGGGTTGCGCTGCATGTCATGACATATTATGACATATTTATTATGAAAACCTAATCGATAATCGAATGAAACATTTCAGCTATAAAACGCAAGATAATGCAGATTTAAAAAATGCGGATCACTTCTGGATTGTCAACGAAAATATGTTTATCAATCAGTTGCGTTACATACTTAAGGATATACGAAGATTTGTTAACATATCCGGTGAAGTGGTTATAATTGATTTTAGCTCATTTCCTGTTGGTAATGAATTGACATGAACTCGAAATGAAAATCACTTATTGCCATGGCTTAATTCATCTAACAGGTTTCTACAAGCATCCCGAAAGACATAGTGAACTATTAAATATGCTTAAAAGTGAATTGGGCTCTCTGGCTTATCAGCGCAATACTTCTATGGTAAAGGCATGTTTCGAACTGACCGTAGAACAAATTAAAAAGTCACAGAAATCTCTTATCATATTATATCCACTGGAGGAATTATCGCAATCAGAAGCTGGTAATGCCTAAGAAAAAAAAAAAAAAGAAACCGAAATTCATATTAAATTATAATGCCTTTTCAAATCGGTTAGAACTTTAAGAATTTAGTTTCCGAAAGTGGAAGTTCCGGCTGTTTTTTATATTTAACAGCGAAGGGGTAGAGGTAGATTGAGGGCTACAGTCATTCTGTCAATACGTTTTCAATGCATAGGAGAAAACTTCGACAAAACATATACACTTTCGATCAGCATCAAATTCTGAATCGATTTAAGCAAGTTCATCTGTCCGTCTGTTGTAAACATTCTGTTGTCTGTCGCAAAAATAAAGCTAGAGACTTTTTTTTACGCAGCTTTGTATTGAGAATGGGCTTAACTTGGCCAAAGGACACGCCTACAGTACTACATGAACGGAGAACATATCTGATTTTCAAAAGGAATAAAAAAAAATTTTTTTTTTTTTGCTCATTACTAATAAACTATAGCAGATAAATTTATAAAAATTTTTACGTATATTCTGCGGATGATGCCGTACTATCCCATCCCCCATGTCAAAATGTTTGCAATTCCTAGAAGACATTTTCATAGATTTATAAGGCGAATACATCCTCAACATATTTGAATGAATGCTGAACCGATCCAGGCATGCCCTGGTAGACAACTTTAGCGCTTCAAATTTGAAGAAGACATTCGAAACTCGGTCATAGAACACATTTACGATTAAAGATAAGCTGAGAACATGTCGTACCTTCGAAAGTGGAACAAATGTAACTGCAACGAGTACAACGATCACACCGACAACCACGGTTGTTCTATGGATAATTTTCGAGTAACTTGCACAAAAATGCAAAAAAAAAATCGTTCATGACCAACCAATATTATTCGTTTTTTTTTTTTTTTTAATTTGGACGGTATAAATTATCCGGTGATAGCCGAATATGGTTTTCTTAGTTTTGCATTTTTTTTGTTTTTTGTTTTTTTTTCTAATTTATTCCAGAATCATCGATATTATGCCCGCCATGGAAGCGTTTCTCAACTGACGTTATGAACAATTCCCAAACTTTGGATTATATGCGTTTATTGTTTAGCAAAAAAAGATCATCACCAGTACAAGATGAAGGTTGGATATTTAATGCGATAAAAGGTTTAGAGAAGTCATTGGTGAGTTGAAAGAACAACAAGGCTCATCAATGATAGTTCAATTATTGTTTCTTATCGCTTTAGAACAGTGAAAAATTGTTAACATCTAAAGAGCGTGCGTCTCGTATTAATATCAAAGTAGCGAATTGGCTAAAGGGTCCGTGGGGCTCCACTGCCAACGTGGTGACGATGGATTACTTCAGTAACACGAATCTCATTGATATGGCAATTTATTCGAATTTACAAAAGGCTTTCATGAGAACCAATAGAAATTTATTAAATTTCGAAATAATAAATAAATAAATATAACACGCATAGGGACTCTCAACTCTCATTGCGTTGACATTTAATATTTACATATTTATTATTTAGAAGAGATGAGAAAATTTAATAAAAGTTTACCCAAAATGCACCAAAAAATATCTTACATTTTTCATATGTAACACCTTCTAAGCGTTGAATTTGAAAATGCTATATATATATAGATCATTATAGAAATTTTTACTTTTAAGTCTATTGAACGTTTCATAGAATATGTTTTCAATTTAATGTCATCTTGTAATCATTTTATTTAATGCCTCGATGGAGGAAATGTCAACAACACCTTCTCAGAGTAATGGTGACACTCTACCCCTATCCCGGCTAACAATTGACTTTTTGGATAAAACTTTATTGGAATCAATCTGGTGAAATATAATAACATAACGTAGGCATGCGTAAGCACACACATATATGAGCCGTTTATTTCAAAAATGGTATAAAACCATATTTTCTTATTACATTTAGAAATATCGCTAAGCATTAACATACAGGCATACTTTTTGTAATAACGTAGTATTACACAAGTTTATAGACAATATAAGTCCAATATATATTATAACTATAATGATAACTAAAAAATAGAAAGACTTTTTTTATATCTAAGTGAACGTGCCCCACATTCAAAACGAATGAACGAATATAATCGTTAATTAAAGAGATAATATTTCAGGTTTATTAGTTTTTTCAGACCCTACACTAATTGTGGCACAACAAAATATTTTGCCAGATCCACGTTTTATTATACTAAGCATATCTGTCCGACTGTCCGCCTTTTAATCTTGTCCTCAATCTGCAGATTGCAAATTTTCGGGATATTTCGAGAATACTTGGCCCAAGAACGAACGCTAGTGAATCTGAATCACATCGCAGCACTTTTTCGACCACTTCCTTTATAACGCCTTATTCTGAAAAGTTGTCATATGAGTACCTACCCTATGTCAAGCGAAGTGGTATAAAGTATTTAATGGTAGGCCGTGGCCCAGTATGATGTTTTTATTTGTTTTAATAATAAAAAAATACTTACGTTGAAGGAGAGGTATATAGTGTACAAGGCAATAAATCTATCGTATCAGATATAGTGCATTTTACTTTTTTTTACTTTTTTTTTTTTTTCATATAATCCGCCTGAGTGGCCGAGTAGGCAAGAGTCTCGACTAGAAACTCAATGGTCGTGGGTTAAAATCTCAAGTGCGGTAGAGTTTCTAATAAAGCCGGAAGCGTTACATGCTAGTGCATGTTGTTGTAATAAACCGATAATTTTATAAATTGAGCACGTCCTTCCATCGAAATGTTCTAAAACATTTATTATAGAGCATTCGCTGCAGATCTGATCTAACATATTTTTACGGAAACCCCAAATCTAGTCATTTTCTACAACCAAATGCGAGGCGTCATGCAGCTGCGTGATCGATGAAAGCGATCAGCGGAAAAACAGGCAGCTAAAAGCAAAGTGCATATTCGCAGGCGCCTCATGCAGCTGCAGGCCGATGAAAACGGTTACCAACAAGAGCAGGTTAACGAATTAAAAATCAAGTTATAAAATTAGGTGCTAGTAATATGATGGCAAATATATATATGTGAATAGAATATTTGTGAAAGACAGCAGAGTAGAAAAAGAATTTTTGAGTTAAGCAGTCGAAAGTATTGCCAAAAATAATTTGTAAATAATCCTACATGAAAAGAAATATAATTGTAAATAAAAGAACTTTGATCAAAATATCTGCGATCTAGTGATACGGACTGTGTCTTAGTAAAAGCGAATTACGTAACAATATAATTAACCAATACTACGAAATCAAAATCGTATACACATAAAATGCAGAAAACGTACAAAACAGACCTGTGGTGTCTGTACAGTTTGCAAAATGTAAGTCTTGCAGTTAGACTGATAGCCAGAGAGAGGCCTTCCAGGAAAATATTTCTGGAACCAATTAAGCCAATTTGCAACTTTATGAAGTGAAATAGACGCATTACAGCGAACAATGGCTAATCTGCAAGTTAATGCTGTCAAAAACAATATATTAGTAAGCAATATTTGCATAACAAAGCTATCATGTCGGAAAGTAGGACCAAGAAATGTTTGGCATAGTGTGACGCCCGTAAATTTTTTTTTTATTTTTTTTTGATTAGATATCATCTCTTAAACTCGAAACAATAAGGAAATTAATAAGGAAAAGAAAAAAGGAAGTGAACACAATGAGGCCGCGCTTGTTTATCAGGCCTAGGCATTAAAATAAATACTTTGGGAGCAATGAGTAAATAAATGTAAATACAATGAAGTTTCGCTTGTAAGGAATTTGCAAATTATATATGATGATATATATTATCTCCGATTTTACGAAACCTTCAAAATTGAAATGCCTCCGTCAGTCTTTGGAATAAAAGCGAAGCTTCATTGTGTTCGCTTCCTTATAAAGAAAATAAACGGCTGAAACGGTGCTAATTTTTCCACAGCTTTGCGAGAATTAATAAATGTACGTAAGCGAATGGATAGAGTAAAAAGATGTAAAAACGTAGAAGAAGAAATGAAAGCGATTTATTTTGAATTTGAAAGTTACTTATCTAATTTTATTCCATTTTGTACTACAATTTTCAATTCGAAAAAAATTTTCTTTATATTACATATATATATATTATTTCGCACTAAAGCAACTGTAATCGTTTAAGGAAAAGCTTTCTTGGCTAGCTATACTATTTAAACTATAGTCATATATTAATAATGTTATATCCCTAGTTATAACCTGGTTAGTCAGTCAATAATCAACACTAAATCGTCCGTCCATAATGATAGTAGCGTACCTACTTTTCACTCCTTGCCTATTCGAAACCCGCCTCTTGGTCTTATTCGATTAAATTCATTATACCAACTATAGAATACACAAATGAATGGATTCCACTTTTGCACTGCCTTCACAGCGCCGCTACATCGCCTTCCCAGCCATGCATCGTAAGGGTCCTGTTGTTGTGTATTTTTCTTTCTTTTTTATAAATACCTATAAGATATTCATCGTTTCTGCCATACATAGTCAGCAATAAAACACCGGAAACAAAGTAGATATGTCTTTTTTTATTTTATATATTTATTTTAAAGTTAGTTTAATCATTTAACAAGTGCGTACGACGAATGTTTTCATTCTTACTACTACAGTGAGCTCATCTTAGTCCTGCGCTAATTTATTATGCTTTTGATTAAATTCGTTTTAATTCAAGTAGGGCCTCTCTCTCTCTAATCTCTCTAATTTACTATATTTTAGACTTTTTTTATTTATTGTATTTGTAAGTCCTTTTTTTGGATTTTTAACTTTTAACTTATCATAGTTTAAAACTTTTTTCTTTTATCTTATCATTATTTTAAGTTTGTAAACTTTTTCTTCCTTTTTTTACTTTTAATATTAATTTTAACTTTCCTCGCCGGTATGTTCATAGCATTTTTAAGCATTTTATCAATTTTCTTCATTTTTAAAACGATTTCGCATATTCATTGTGCCTTTTTGAATGTCTCTTCCATGTTCCTCTTTTTTTTACTTCTTCTTTGATGTAGACGGTCTCTCTTTCCTTAAGCATTTCTATCGTATTTTATAAACGTTTCGATCTGTCATTAATTGAATATACAATCACTATTAAGACTTCGTTTCATCTTTAAAATTTTTTTTTATCATTTTTGATAATATTTTAACGCCTTGAAAATAGCATTTTTTTTTTTTTTTTTTTTTTTTGTATTTTTCGAGCCAAAAAAAGAAGTTTCGCACTTCTTTCTACTTTTCGTTTTTAAGCCGACGCAAATTAAATATTCTTAGCTGTTTCTCTGTAAGTAATCCTTCACTCATCTTCTTCTTCCTTCCTGTCCAACTAGCTAATCCTCGTTCAAAGCAATCAATTCTCCTCTTTTCCTTTGGCACCTTTTGCTCTCAAGACTTTCTTGCTTTCTTGCTTGGGTTAGTTTGTCAACGTACACCTGAGAGTTTGCAATAAGAACAGCACATCAATTGCATAAAGCAATATATCCCCCTTTATGTTATACAGACAGACTTTTTCGTATTTCTTTTTTTTTTTTTTTTCTTTAGCTATAAGAAGTTTTGGCTAAGCAAATAAGCGAGATTCCGCTATCTCACTAGTTATTGACCTGTGATTGTAATCAATGGTTAATGCAGGCCGACTCAAATCCCCTACACAAATGTAAGCTAACGTTAATCAATGAAGGTGGTCTTCGATGAATGGAGGTAAGCAGATTCTGAAGACGACGATTAGCAAAACAATATGTGAATCCCAAAACATGGGCAATACTTAATTTCTTGTTAGAAAATCGTTATCCAAACGTCAAGTTCCACACAGTACGCGCTTCCTGTGTAAGCCTTAAGCTCGATTATTTAAAGATATGGAAGTACAATCTGATTCGAAGATTCTCGCAGAAAGGGATCTGAAAAACATAAGTGAATACAATTCAATATACGCTTATACGCATTACTTATTAATTAACATCAGTGCTTACCTTTACTCTTATGAAATGGAAAGAGATCCAAATTTGCAGGAACAAACAACATTTACGGGTCTGCCGTCTATTGCATGGATGCAATAAGGAACGTATCACATCTTATCATTATTATAAAACCCACATTTTTTTTTTTTTAGATGCGGTAATTTTTTCGATAGTACTTCGTATAATTCCCAAATAATCCTGATCATAGTTGATTGATCCATTTTAAATGCAAGAAAACGGCACTAAACTTGATGTTGAAAAAATCGAAATTCATATGTAGGCATTTAAACGCATAAAATACTTACGGAAATGTGAGAAGAACATCCAGTCAGTAGAGCATCAAAGCGCTATAAACAGTTTAGTTTGACTTGTACACTTTCTCGTCGAAGAGTGCAAACGTGCAAGGTGAAGGATGCTGAAATATCGCCTCACAAGCCACTCCCGACAATTTCAGGCAGTGCTTACTCTGCTGCAAGCCCTAAATGCAAATTCCCCGACGCCATGCAGTTTTCAGCTGATTTCATAGCATTAAAGCAGCAAATATGACATGTATATGTGTATGAGTATTATGTGTATAAATATCTTACTTTTTATAGGACTGAAATAAGTTACGACGTTGAAATGTTGTTGATAGAGTTGGTTAAAAGACCAGTTGCTCTCTCTTATCAACGAGTTTTTGGTTGATAAGTAACGCAGCTATTTCGGGTAAAAAGTCTGGCTCTTCTCAACGAAAGGCTTAAGATGACAAATTTTCTAAAAGTAATGGAAGAAAAAATTAAAAGCGGAGACAAAGGAAACGAGAAAGAGAACGGAAAAGGTAAAGGGAAGGGATCAACAATTTGTATCCTTAAGGACAAGACAATAGTTTTGCTATGGAAATAAGACAATGGAGTAGGAAAAGTTCAAAACATAGGATATCATGAATACATACATACATTTGCACGCACAAAAATAGCAACATGAAGTGGTATAGAAATCTATAATGAATTTTTCAAGTTTTGTCATTATAAATAATGTTTATAATTGATTTTTTTATTGTAAATAATTCCCTTTTTTTTTTTTCTTTATTATTATTTTATAAAAGAAAATTCATAAGCTTGCATGGATTCAAAGTGTGTGCGGTAAGCAAATTCAGCCGAGAGCAAACGAATTGATCCGTAATACTCGAATAGATGATTAAGAGATGTCCTGTAGAATATCGTAAATAGAATCTCTTAATACTTTGTAAATAAAACTCACGTTATTCTAAATATCATAACTTAACCGGCGAAATAGTTCAATAAAAATGAAAAATTTGTAATCGAATATATGTTTTTTCGGTAAAACAATATAGAAACTCAAGGCATATAAAAATGCTAAAATTTGTGATATTTTAATGAATTTTATTGAAAATGCTTGACAGATATCAAAATACATGGAATTGAGATAAATAGGAGATATGACAACGCAACTAAATCATCTCAAAATCCCTTAGTGATCGGGTTTATTGGATTGTCGAGCGAGGCCGTTGAAGGAACGGCTAAAAAGGTCGCAAGCATACTTATCAAGTTACTTGCTCGATGTCATGAAAGCTAAAGAAAACAGAGGAAAGATGAATATATCTTTCACGAATTACTTAAATCGAATTAAAAATTTTTGCAACATTAGTGACGTTTTTACCGCCTTCTATGTGTAAAATTTGCACTGCAAGTGTGCTTCTATACAGAACTCTACATAGATTTGATTTAACGACAAAACGTCATGAAATACCTTAGACTACTTTACAGTTGTTGATATAGCAACTACTCAAAATGAGGCCAAATGGAAGGTGACCGGGAAAGTGGTCCAATCCAAACTATTTTCAATCACACGCACACAGCGCACCGATTGTCATCAAAATATTTCAAGAACTGCAACTCACAGGTCAAACGCAAGAAAACAAGACGGCTAGACGGATTCAGAGCCGATCGGTATAATAAAGGATGAATCCATCTCAGTTCCTTTTAGGTGTTGCCGCATTACATCCACACAAACTGATTACATCCTTGTACTCTTATATGCCCACTAATGTAAGGTATAAGCAGGTGCTTGGTTACATACTCTTTTGCAAGCGAATTGCCAATATCAAATTTCAATGCCACGTTTCCATGTTAATCTCTTTTTCTGCGAATTGTTGTTGTAACCTTTTCGCCATTTGCCAGCTCGTTTGGCAGTTAAATCGCTATGAACCTATATTTGGTTTTCACATTTTAAGAATTTCGTTTTCTAAAAAAAATATATATATATATGTATATATAATATATATATATATGTACATGTTCGTAGGACCTACAAAATGGAGCTATTTCAGTATATAGAGAAAAAAACGAGAAAGAGAAATTTCATATATCCTTGGAACAGGTGTAAAACCCGATGACAATTTTACGCTTTACAAACATTTTTCCTTTAACTTGCATAAAAAGCGCGCACACACTGCATATTTTGAAGGATCCAATGCTTATATCCTTTCCTCTCATCTCTCCCTCTTTCACCAATCATTTTCATCGCATTAAGAAATTCATAAGTGATTCGTAAAGCATCATACTTTGCTTTGGTTAGATGATGAATACGAAGCTTATAAAAGAGAAAAAGATCAAATATTATAAACGTAAGCAAGTAAAGCAGGCAGGGCAGTACAAGCACATGTGTCTCAATGAATTTTACGACTATAAAAAATTGAAAAAAAAAAAATTGATTTTTCTGACAGGAGAGGTTAAAGACTGAATTTTTGTCTTACATTATTTCGATGGAAGCGCGCATGAACATTTCACAAATTCTTTTTTTGTTCGTAGTACACACACAAACGGAAAAACAGCGATGTTTACCTTAGAATGAATTGTATT